CAACACCCTCCCCAGAGAGAGGAAGGCTGGTGATTAACTAACTACTTTTTCCGACTCAGTCTGCAAGTCGCATGTTTGAACTGCTTTTGGTGCTTTCCAGTTTGTTGCATCTTCTAAGAAATATCCACTATACAAAATCAAAGGCACTTTATGAATGTGAAAACTCAGCATCCATCGCTCCAAAAAAAGTTTGGGACTTTTCAAGCTGTGGCTCCATGCGTTCGGACGCACAGGACTTGAAGGCTTCTCCAAAGGGGGTTATCAATGTTCAGAAAGCAGTTGTGTGCTGGAGTTATCGGACACTTATCACAAACCCCTTCTATCAGTGAAAAACTTCCAGTTTGTGTTGCGTGTTTACTCTGGCCTTGTTTCGACCGAAATTTTGACAGATTTGACTCATGTCACAAATGTGACCGAAAAAAAGTTTGATTGGCTCAGCACTAAAACGCTTTGGTAACTGCGTTTGCTGAAACTTGTTTTTTTTTTTTTTTCGTTTTAGATTTCTTTCACGTGGCTTCTGCTTCTTTTTGAGAGTCTTGTTTAAGTTTAGTTCCCTTGAAGCCCCCTTCAAGTCTCTCTTAAGCCCTCTTCAAGTTTCTTGAAAGCTCTCTCCCTCTTCAAAGTCTCCCTTCAAGCCTCTCAGCTCTCTTGTTTTAAACGAATGTCCACGTGTGACGTGTGATGTTCACATGTTAAGGGAGAACGTCAATGTCAACTCTCAAGAAATACTGCAACGCAAGCAGAAGCAACATCTGACACGGTTCCTTGGCCACGGTCAAGAATCTTGCACAACATACATTCCAATTCCAAATCAATCCACTGGCTCACAGAGCAAATCTTGCTGAATCTTGCTTGGTCAGCTTGCAAGACGCGCAGATTTTTCTGTATTGCGGCAAAGAAACAACAGTAATGGTTTCTATTCTACTTCTAACATGTTGTCGTGTTGCAAGTTGGTCCTTTTCGTTCTTGCGCGTTTCTTGTTTGGTCGTAAAGCTGTTCAATTGAACTCGATTTGTTTTGGTATTTAGTTTCACGAAAATTGCTGTTGTTTGCGCTCCTCCACATTCAACAGCACTGGCTGGCACAATGGGCAGCTCTAAAGCGGTTTGTTGTTGTTTTCGTTTTGTTGCCTTTTCCTGTGCAACTACTTGCAACTTGCATGGGTTGAACGGAGTCAAAGTAAGGAGTGTTTGCGGCCTGGCCGAAAATCGAAAACCCGCCTGATACCCCCCAACGGTCGTGCATAGCTTGAGAACAGCTGTCACTACAAGTAGGCACGAAAACGGTGTGGAGTCCGGAGAGCTGTGTTTAGCACGCCGAATTAGGGTTTACCTTGCGCGTTGTACGCCACAAGACTCGAGTTTGTGAGCCCGAAATGGGGATGCAGTTGTATGGCGTACCGATGTCTTACTGATACCCCAACAGATACCCAGCCTGCACAAAAAACATGTTATGTTTTTTTGAGGTGTGCTTGTTTCGAACTGCACATGTTGGTGCATGAAACACGGCTTCTCGTGTGGCAAAGACGGTAAAGAGTCCATGTGGCGCAGTTGTACAAAAGCACATCTTGTCGTTTGGAAGATTTGTAAAACGCAGTTGGCATCACTTGGCGAAGTCTCTCGTGTGGGCGTTCCAGCAGCAGGTTTTCGGTGTCATGATTGCATAATGCAGCTGCGTGTAAGCTTGCAAGTTGTGGGTGTCCATGCAGGTGGAATTGGGTTCCATGTCAAAAAGCTCTTATGATTCAATTGAATTGAGATGATGCCGTCGCCCATATGCAATGGATGGAACGGATTGTGGCAAGCATGACGCAACTTGGAAAGAACAAGACTGTTCGTGTTAATGTTGCAGAATGTTTCGGAGCCGTGTGAAGTTCCGACATTGCCAAGGACAAGTTGAAGCATCGTGTGTTGACGCTGCCAAGCTTAAGGGGTGGCTTGTTGGTGCATGCGCTGAAGAAGATCAAAAAGCGAACAGGAGTCGAAGGGGCTTGCAGGGTCTTTCGGGCAGCTTAGGAGCCGCACACGAGGAGGCAGGGGCTTTTGGATTAGGGTTTAGGGTTTAGGGTTTGGAGTTTAGGGGTTTAGGGTTTAGGGTTTCGGGTTTGGGGTTTAGGGGCATTGAATGAATATGCTGGCAACAACAGTTGGTTGTTTATAATCAGGCTTTGTCTGGTAATACCTGATTTGGCAAGTGCTCACAGGAGTACTCACCTGCGAACTACGGATGCTCGGTTGAAAGAGCAATGGCGAAGTCTGTATCGCATTCGGGCATTTCTTGTGGTCACAAGTTTCAGGTACCTGGATTATGGAGCAGAGGAGCGGATCAAACGGCTTGTCATAGAAATTGCTGGCGCTCGCCGGAACAGTTATGTAAGTTTTCTTTTCGGAGGTCGTGATCAACGGGAAGCCCGGCAGCGTATTGAACTGCGAAGAAGCTGTACTGCAAGTTGCCGAAGGCAGCATTGATGGATTGGGCTTCGCAGAAGTCCGTCATGAGGCGGGGTGGCAAAAACAAGCTGGGGTTTAATAAAACAAGCGGGTGGACAAGCGGCGGGTCTTTTGCCAAGGAAGCAGCACATTTGGTCGTGACTACCGAGTCTGCACGTTTCGAAGTTGTCTAGCAGGCGGCCGCAAGTCAACGCACGAATGCCAGGTATCCTTTCCGGCCGCCAAAAAGCTTGACACTGGCAAGGCAAAACTTCATCGGAGCCCAGCACAAGCCATTGGATGCATGACAGGCTCGGGCTGAGGTTTCGTAGTTCGCGTTTTGAGGTTCTACTCCATCTTTCGTCTGCAGGTTGCGACCTTATCCTCGATGAAGCGCAGTCGCAGATGCTTGTGGTGGGTCCTTCTGAAGCTGTGGCTCGCGGTGCTGCAAGGCTTGCAGCATCTCGGTGCCAGCAAGATTGGGCGTAAAGTTTTTCAGTTTTCTGACATGGGCAGGCCACCTGTGAATCTCATTCAGTGTTCTTCATGAGCTCATGTGGCCCGTCTTTGTTTAAGCGAGTGCATCGACTTAGATTTGCCACCCCAGACGCACGACCGATGTACCAGTGTCCCCATATGTCTCCACGTTCATGCTTGTGAACAGAGGATAAATTTCTGGCATCGCGGAGTCATGATCTGTCTGCTGTCGTCAAGGCACCGTCTGTGACCTAGTGTTGTCGGGCTGTGCTGTAAGATTTATTTGCTATGCATGCCGCGTTTGTTGTGCAGATCGACACTTCGGGTGTCCTGGTGGCAGATCGCATCCTTCGTGATAGCGGGCATGTCATGATGCAAGATTTCGTGCATTTGCACTGCTCCTGGTGGTGCAGACAGTCTCGCACCCACTCTTGCGTTCCGTGTTGGCAGAGGAATGAAATTTTGCTTGGGCCTGTCTTCCAGTCATGAAGAGATTCTATGCTTTAGCAAACGGTGTTACGGCTGTCGCTTCTTTGGCAAGGAGCTGAAGGCAAGTGCGTGCCTTGCCTTCAATGGATCGAGCCGCAAACCAAGATCATCAAGTAGCAAAGCTTGGTGTTGGCACTGAGCGACATGTGACGACATGTCTCAACGACCTTGGAGAGAAACTGCAATCGTGACCACCTTGAGGGCTTACAACCGAGAAGCATTCGTGCTTCAGTGTTTCTACCCTGAATGCTGGACGCCCTCTCGTTGCCCTGTTCCCATGCCATGTTTCATCAGAGGTCTCGGCTGATGTGGATTCAAGAAGGGGTGCAAAGGAAGCTGGCAAGCAGAGAGAGTTGTGAAACTGGGCGCATTCGTGAGGCTTGTCAGCCCAGGACTCGGAAGAGAGAGCATGGAAGCCGCCGGCAAAAGCTCCGCCGGAAGTCTTGTCTTTGGCCCAGTCTTCTGCAACCGTCTTTGTCTTTGTTCAACGGTGGAATTCCTCAGGCTGGCTCCACGATCAGTCCCGTGGCTTCATGGGCTTCCGATTCTGTCACCGTGTCATGCCTTTGGTCGTAGATTCGAGCAAAGCCGGGCCCGCGGCTAGCTTTACTCTTTTTATGCAGACAGATATATCGCCCGCTAGTTGTTTACAGAGCTCAGGACCGTCCTATAGGTTCACCCGTGGTCCAAGCGGTGACAGATGAATTTGGGCGCCGATATTACTGGAACCACATGGATGCCACATCGAGTTGGCATCCACCTCCTCCACATATTGGCTTCTGGGAGCATCTGCTTGATTACAGGCCCGTTTGCTGTAGTTTCTTTGTCGTAGGCAGCCCTTATTGAAAGCTGCCAGGACGGGGCGAGCCTATTTCGTAAACCGTGGTACCGGACAGACTTCTTGGGACTTGCTTGGCCGTCTACATCAGCCGGGAGCTGAAGCAAAGGCTCATCTGGGGTATTTGTTGTCGTTTTTGGTCCTGCGACTGCGAGAGTTTCATGCAAAAGGCGAAACTTTCTGCGCCGTCTCCCAGCGCCTGGGTCCCACCTTCGACCCCGCCGGCACCTCCGTCGACGGTGCCCGCAGAGGCCCCAAGCTCTGCCCGTGCGGCGAGCTTCAGCGTGACGAAATCGACCGACGGGCAGATTGAAGGCACCGTGGCAGCTCATGCGGGGACGCTACTGTAGGGCTAGGGCCTTTGGGGTTCCCCAGCCTTTCCGAGCTTGCCGGCACCACAAAGCCCAGGCCGAAGGGAAGCACGGCTTCGGACAAGGCAAGCACTGGAAGAGATCAAAGCTCGCAGGCGCCGGAGTCCCGGGCCTCCTGCTCCTTCGTCATCAGGCAATTTGGCGGCAATGCCCTGCAACAACTTTGTAGCTTTGAGGCCTCAGACAGGGGTTGCTTGCTTTTTCCGTGCAGTTACTCTAATTCACTGCTTTCGGACGTTGCTTCATCTTCGTCTCAGCTGCCATGTAGCTGCACTCAGTCCCGGCCGACGAAGCTGCGGAAGAGTTCCTTGAGTTGCCTGCGAGTGGTGGGGCCGAGAACCAGGCAGAGGACCGAAACCTCGACGAGGATGTGGAGGCTGACGCTGAGCCAGGGGAGCTTGTCTTCAACGAGGAGGAGGAAGATGTGCTCCTCGCCAGTACACTCGCCCGAAAGAGTTGGAAAGCAAAGCTTGCCAGTGCATAAAAGACACAGCTGTCCTGCCTTGTCCGCGTGATTGAGCTGAGCGACGGTGCCTGGCACGAAGGTTCAGCACAGAAGGCGCTGAAGGAACACAGACGCACACAGAAACGTTCGTTGAAGAGGGCGATCCAGGTGCTGGGGCACATCCTAGTTCGTGCATGCTGCTTTGCCAGGACGGTCATCCCAGACAAATCAGCAGGACACGTCAGACGAGGTGTCTGAACGTAGATTTGTGTTGGTAGTGGCGTCCTTGGCAAACGAGAGCTGAGAGCTCAACCAGAGGTCCTCGTGGATCTTGACCCAATTCCGGATGCTGGGCAGGAGCACCTCAGCAGCAATGGGAAAAACACAGAAATCTTGATGCGGTCCCGCCGCAGTATGCAAGGTTCTGGGAAGAGGACATGAGCATGGAGTTCGACTTAGCCGACAAGGACCTGTCAGCACGAGCCTCTCTGTGAAGTGTTGCCTATGGATCGGGGGCCCATCGCAAGGATAATATTTTCGAGAGCGACGTTTTCGAACAAGAAGATTTGCATGACTTCGCAGACGAAGAGGCCATCAAGTAACATCCCTGCAATTCAGGAACTGCCCTTTCAGACATGCCTTTTCTGCAGCAGCAATCTGAGAAGCTTCTGGGGATGTGCTGAGGCACGAGCTGCTGTCCGAGATCCAGACATTACGTGAGCGCGACTTGGAATGCAGTGCACAACACCGCTTGCTTGGCTGAGGCATGATGTCTTTATTTAGAGAGTTTTTTGCGTGTTGTTGTTTTTGGGGCGGGGCTGAAAGAGGGAAGCCGGGGAGGAAGCAAGGAAGGAATGAAGGAGGAAGGAAGGAAGCAAGGAAAGGAACGGGAACAAGGGAAGGAACATATAGGATGAACCCAGCGTTTGCAATGACCTGGGCTTGTGGATTCCTGCTACCTTTCTAAACCCAGCTACCTTGGCGGTCCTGCACGTGCTGCACAGCTTTTGCACATCCCTTGCCTTCGAGTGCGGCGCAACAGGTCAAGAGGAGGAGGAGGTGCAGTTAGAGGGCGACATCGTATGGCAAATGGACGAGGAGGAGCTCCATGATCTGGAGCACGAAGAGGTGAGACCTGCCGAGGAGAGGGGGGTTCAGTTCGTTTGCCACCTAGCAGGCACTTTTGGGGAGAGAACAGCAAGGCAGGAATTTAGATCTCCTCAGAGGAAACAATCAAGCTTTCAAAGCAGCCTTACTCCCGACGGTGCTGGGGCCTGACACACCGGAGAAAAAAGAAGAAGAGAGGGTGAACATCCGCCTCTGGCTGTTACCCTCCACCTGTTCCCTGATGCACCATCTTTCAAAACGCTAGAGGCAGTAGGTCGACCGCAGGTGTTAGTCTCTTCGGGAACGGTGCGGGATGGAGGGAGGGTAGTGGTCCGCCCACTGGTCCACGCCGAGCCTGTGCGCGGAGGGTCATGGTCCCGATGAACCGGGTGCCGGTGATGGAAGGACGAAGACCAAGGCCTCTCAGCTCGGTGATGGTCCACGGCGCGTGCTCTCTCTGAGCTTCGGCTGAGGCCATCCGGCCTCCAATGCAGCCGAAGAGCAAGCACAAAGCGAAGCCGACGCCGCCTTCCGAACCACCGCCAAACTGGCACAACCGCGCCGAAAGTTCCCAGGACCGCGTGGAGCAGTCTTGACCAATGTGACTAACTCTTCTTTCTGCTCTTTGCAAGAATTTGCAAGCCTCGCAAGAGCAACTACGCTCTTCCCGAGGCAGACCTCTACGACGATGCTGGCACGCAGCGGGCCCCATGGAGATCTCAGAAAGCTGGTGGCAAGAGACAGCTAGCCAAAGGCACATGGAAAGAACAGAAGACTAAGAGGAAAGTGGAGTACGCTGGGGACTCGCCACCTGCACAGAGAAGGAAAAGTTGGAGCACTGACAACTGGGTTGGTCACGAAGGGCGCGTTTCCGAACGGGGTGATTCAAGCTGGGACGGCCCGAGCCATCAGAGAGGGTATCGCCATGCAAAGCCCATGGACGAGGCTCGGTAGGTCTCCAACGATTCTTGTGTTCCGACAGCGTCCCTTAGCCGCTACCTTCAGGATTGGTCGCAGTGGAAAGCTTGGAAAGATGCGGGTACCTGGCGAGGAAGCTCTTCCAGCTCCAACAGAGGCGTCGCCTACGGTTTGACGAAGTTCGGATTCCACGGTCAAACCGCGAACCTCTCAGGTTGGAGCTGGAAGCGCCGCTGATGCAGCGAGGAAAACAGTTGGGGTAGTGTTCCTGCGTTCCGCCGAGTCTTCGCAGAGCATTCGCGGGGACGAAGTTGTCATGGGTGTCTTGATGAAACGGAGGTGGATTGGACATCAGTCCCAGTCTTTCAAGGGAGCAGATTGCCAGCTGTCGGGCATGGACGGAGCTTTGGTGAGAACTGTTTTCATACGTTGGAGCCCTGATGACCTGATGCAAACACTTACAGAAGCCGACCCCCATGCACACGCCGTCGGAAAGGGCAGAGCGTTTCTGGGCCATGGAGCGCCATGGCGGGCAAGGCATCAAGTTGCCTGGCTGCCTGTCCTGAGCCTGCACCTCAGTGCGGGCATGAGCCATACTACCGCATGTGCGGCGTTCAGGCTGCGCTGAGTGATCACTCCGTTGCAAGGTTGCAGCTTCCTGCTAGCAGCATCACGTATCTTGACTCCGTACTGTCGGAACTCAGTGCTGAAGAGACAGAAGATGCTTGCCGCGGTTAGTCTCATGAGCAGTGCTAAGAATGTGGCGTTTACCATGGATCGCTTCCCGGCTGAGTCCCAGGACTATGCTGCCCTGCGCGGTCTGCTCGAGCCTTTTCTCTTGGATGCATTGACACTTGGTCTGAACCCGCGTGTTGAAGGCAGAATCTGCTTGCACAAATTTGTGGCGCTCAGGAAGCAGAACGGGCGCGAGACACCGCACAATAGTGCAAGCGATGCCAAAGTGGAGATCCTGTGTTTCATTGCTGCATTTGTGTTCTGTTTGAGCTTCGTTACTTTGTTAAGAACAGCTCAGATTATTGAAGCTGGTCATTTTGCATTGACCAGGTCAATTGCTCTACAACCACCTCAGAAAGGAAGCGAACCATTCGCAACGAGACTCGACTTGGAAACAGCTTTCTTGGGTCCAGACTTATCACACCGCAGATGCATTCAGTGGTATCGGATTAGGAATGCTCTGTTCGTGTGTAGCTGTAGCTGTTCATCCAATCTTTTCTCAATCAGACTCGATGAGAATTGGTCTGATCTAGGTGCTGCACAGAATTCACTCACTGCGACTGCTCAAACTTCAAGCCCGTGCCAACCTTCGAAACATTTTCGAATCAATGTGGTGGGTCCGGCTTGGGCACTCTATCGCTCGAGTGTTGGAGTCTCCAAACTCGAGGAGGAGGTGCTCTGCCTGTGATCAATAGGGGGCTTCAAGCAGGGTCCTGGAGTTGACACCGAACCATATAGCTGGAACCACTTGTTGGTCAGGGATGTGGCATGCATGTCCGTAGCTGCACAAAGTTTTGTCAAGGACGGCTGGGTGAGACACCACATATCTCTGCTGCCTTGCGAAAAGCCGCTGCTTCAGCTACTTGGAGATGCACGAGTGCCACGACCTCTTAAGTTTACGCACATCTTCCGGTGGCTCAGGTCTCAGACAGGTTGCAACTCTCAACAAATCTGGCGACTTGGCGGCGCAGTCTGCCTGTGCATGTTCGTGTCCAAAAGCTTCAGGGCCCGAAGTAGCCGTGACGGCTGCTGCGGTGCCTGGACTGTTTGGCTCAAGGGCTCAAGGCCAAGGCGAAGATGTCTAAGTCTGTCCAATGCGGTCTGGAGCGTGCGTGTCCTATCACTTCGAGGCGTCATAAGTCAGCTTCGAAGTGCAAGGAGTGGTATGACAAGCTGTAACCTCGCAGTGCTTCCAAGCCCTTGAAGCACGGTCCGCAATGGAAGAACGTCGTCTCAGTGATGGAACCTGCTGGCCTTCTGCATGCCGCTGAAATCAGCGATCTTGCAATCCGCGCTGTCGCTGCAAACAAGCGTTTCGTGGCAGCCCGAAGGTAGGTCAAGTGGGGTCTTTTTTGGTTGATGACTAGACTTCTTGCTCTTGCAATGTGCAATCACTACAATCGTTTCATGTCAGCAACTGCCTGATGCAAAGGATATGTTGCCACGTGCGCAGAAGACTGCACTGCGCGTCTGTATGACTGGCAACTCAGATGCGACAACCTCTCCTAGACTACTAGACGGTCCTAGACTGTAGTCAAAGCTCGGCGGTTGATGTGCCGTGCAGCATGGTTGTAGATACGCAGCTCCTTCAGGAAAGGCACACTCGTGCACACCTTTCAGACGGCTCAGAAGACTCGAAGCGTGGCCCTATCTGTGTCATGTCGGAGAATAAGCACAGTTTTTCAGGAGTTCGTGTCTGCATTTTGGGCCACCTTGTCTTGTTTCAAGACTGCTGGTCGAGAATCGAGGACAAGTATTTAGCAACTGGCGAGAAAAACGGACAAGGAGAACTTTTTGATTTGAGCAAGCGGTGGCCTGACTGCAACTGTTGTTACTAAGCGGCTTCTTTTAGTCTGCTTGCATATCTGCGGGGTAGCGCAGCAAGTTGGCAGTTTTCAGGACTCACGCATCAACTTTCCAATTTCCGGGCAAAGTGACCATGACAATGTACAACGTGGCAATCACTGCAGAGCACGTTCTCCTATCGCTGGCTCCTCAGACCAGCCTGCGTTCCAACATGGTCGCCGACACGCTTATAGAACCTGGGTGTTTTACACTCTCTCGGAGCTCTGCTGTTAGCCATCGCCCCGACAGCAAAACTTGCAGACGAAATGGGCATAGCTGACGGTTTAACGGAGTGGAAAAAATTTGAACGAGGCACAGGCAGGGCACAGGGTTTGCAAGTTCAGAGTCCAGCACCCCACCGTCCGCTATGTCGGCATGCAGCCTGATGTCCCAGGCAATGCTCCGAGTATCACTGCGCAACTGCATAGCTGTTGACGAGTTTCACGACTGTTGAGGTCCTGCCGCGGCTTTGGCGTCAAGACGAATGTTGAGGAAAGCCGCAATGCACAAAGCGAAAGTGCAGATCAAAACAGCGATTGGCTGTGAGGACCGGAAGCTTCATGTTGCCAACCTGTACAAACTGGATGGCTCACTGCAACATACTTTGGACCACGGATCCCTGCTCGGTCGTGCGGGCATATGCCGCTTGCCCAGATGGGGAAGTCGGGAACTGCTTGTGCATGCGACGGTGGGAGGCATGATGAATTAATATTTCGAGTGCATAGGCCTGTAGCATGCTCCTCAGTTGCCATGTACCAGACTTGGATTATAGTGGTGTGAAGATCCATGCTGCGGGATCCAAACCTCTCAAGGTCTCAATGAGACGAAGGCAGCTACTTCTGGCGAAGATAAAGTGGTCAAGGTATCCGGCTTGCTTTCATCTGTCAATCTGAAACAGTACCTGGCGGAAGGTCTGGGAACTCTCATCAGGCCAGCTCCTTCACACTATTCCAGCAGAGAAGGCGATTTGGCTTGCACATGCTTGCATGCGTTCCACACTTCTCCTGCACAATGGCACGAGGAGCGCAGTCCTGGTGTGCGCTTCCTTGATGGCCAGCTGCTCCTGTCAGGCCTGCTCTGGCCCTTGCATCCTTCGGCCATAGCCACAGCAAGTTATTTGCAATTCTGCATATTGCAGGAACCTCCAATGTTGCTGTCTACGACTTGAAGATGGGCAAGCTGGAGCGTCAGCTCGAGGTGCCTCAAGCTGCTCGGCTCAACGGATTGCCAAGCAGACGTCGTGGAAGGGAAAGGTAGGGATGCAGAGAACCCGGGGTCAGAAAGGGCCGTGTGCCCCCCATGTACCAGCTTTGATTATGTGGCAGATTGCGTGTAAAGTCCAGGTCGAACGGGGAACCCTTCGGGCAACTCCACAGACGTATCCACGCCTCGCAGCTGGTGGCAATTATGTTGTGTCAGCAAGCGAAGACCGGCATGCAAGCGTTTGGACATTCTCTGATGGAAGACTTCTCTGCACTATCTCGGATGAACGACGCATTTCTGGTGACTTCTACGCGGCCGTTTGCCACGAACGACTGGCCTTAATTTGTGGGAAATGTCTCAAGATATACGACCTGTCTGTCCATGCTGGCCACAAGCGTGCGGTTTCGGAGGGCCTCGGTGTCTCGCTGCGCTTTCTCATCGATCCAGCACAATTTTCACAAATAGCTCAAGAAGCGGCAGGAAAGGCAGGACCATGCATGACAGTTCTCAAATCATGCTTGTTGTTCAGGGTTCGAAATTCCAAAAACCCTGCTAGGAGAATCCGAACTTCCACGACCTGGCGCCTGTCATCGCCTACGGTCCCACTGCTTTGGGCTCTGGCTCCGTCTGTCCTCGCGATGGTCGCCCAGGATGTGCTCTTGTGGCGACTTGTCTCCACAAGAGACTTGAGCTTATCGCTTGGAGTTGTCGGCAAGTTGCTTGGTCCTTGCAGAGGATGTGGTGCCTGCCGGGCCAGCGACGCATTTTCTGTCTTGGGCTTGGTCTTATCAGCTGCAAACAGTCGTGCTGGCGCTGCGGCACTGGGGTGAGGACCCTTGCAGCTTTCGATGTGTTGTGAGAGAAGCGATTCGTGCATCGCTTTGCCACTGGAAGGACACTGGCAATGAAGTCAATTCTGATCAGTGCTTCGGCCAACAGGTCTTAAAACCACAACTGTTGTCACGTGGTTTCCCCTTTGACTCACAGTGCTTCTGGAATGTCAGCAGTTTATATAGTAAAGCATTGATCCTATGCCTTCTTGCACTCCAACCTCTAGAAACGAGGGTTTTCGTCCGGAAGCTTTGCAATATTCCGTAATTCAAAATCGTCTGAATGTGCTGGCGGACTGTATCACAGCACAACTTCGTTGCCTTTGCACAAGATTTGGCAGTTGGGTTCGGTGTCGAAATTGGGCTGTCGTGAATTGTCGTTTGACGCTGGTTTCCAAAGTCTGTCGCGCTCAGTGAGGACATTCATCTGGATCTGCTTCTTTTGCAACAATCAAGAACGGATCCTCAACGAGAAGTCCAAGGAGGGCTCGGATGACCTGGAGACAACATTCCAGTCTCGTCTGCGATCTATTGGGCACGTTCTCGTGTTGTTCGACAACTGGAGCAAGCCTTTCTACCTGATGCCTGAAGTCAATTCAGCCATCACTGTCAAAGTGTTTTCGG